TTCACTGTTACTTTTCTTAATCTTTTTTTTCCTGTATCCATTCTTGCCAAACTCATTTTTGGTACTACAAAAATAGGCCTGTCCTCCATTCAGAATCTCCTGTCACTTTTACATCCTTTCATTGCCTCAGTCTTTCATCTTAAATAAATCAGTCACACTTTTAGATTTATATTAATTCCTTTGGCACATCCAGGTATGAAGACTTCCGCTTAAATCATGTATTTTTAACAAAAGGTCTATTATCTAAGCAGATACCTGTCGCTATTTTCATTCATTCTTAGGTCTCCATGTAGCTCAATTATTTCTTCTTTATTCTCTTGGCACCTAAATTCTTTCCCCCTCTTCTCCAACTGCATTCATTAAAATTTTTAATTTTCCCCCCCCCAAATGCTCCCTCCAGGAGTTCAATGGGTAAAGCTGAGTAAGATTTTTGCCTGTTGTGCTAACTCTAACTCCAACCCCAGCGACTATCTGGTAAGATGATGTACTATGACCCACCAACATGGAGGTAGATGCTCTACTCCACTCCACTCCACACACAGGATATCCCACAACATGACTAAAGGTAATTATAAGAATGCATGTAATAAAGTAATTGGAAACTTTAGGGGATTCATAATGATTCAACCAGTGTAAAAGTTAATAAAATGATCAAGTGCATTTATATCTAAGTATCATTAGTATGTTCTGTATATTTTCCATGATACTGTTTTTGTTGCATTTAAGCTATTGCTGCAGTATTGCAATACTAGATCTTTTCTAAGGGTGCAGGGAGAGGAACTTTATAGGCCACATATTTGTACAAATTCTTGTTCTTGCCTTTGAATTTTAATGGTGACAGTCCTGGGAGCAAATATGAATTGCTTACTTGGCTTTCGACTTCAAAGGTGTGAATAAAATATTTTGTAGCCTTATATTACTTTGTTCATAAATGATACTTGTAGTCGAAGTCACCTTAAGCAATTCAGCAACTTTTTCTTAAAACAATATGAAATTACCATTTAAAATAATAGGAAAGTATTTAAAAAGTTTAATTAGAAACAGCTAGAATTTGATACTTTTAAAAAAAGAATAGGCATTTGTTTCGCAAAATGAACAAAAGTTGATTAGACTTTCTCGGTAAAAGCATGAGTTTGGTGTAATGTAGTCTCGTCTTGCATCAGGCTAGACCTGAATTCTAATTCCCCCTTAGGCACAAAGACAATTGGATAACTTTGTATTGTTCACTTTCTTTCAGCCCTAGAAAGTAGCCAATGGCAAACCACTTCTGAATCTTGCCAAGAGAACTTGCAGGGTTAGTCCAGGTCGTCTCCAGAAGTCTCCAGAACTCAATACAACACAACAGAACTCAAAGGAACACACACACAACCCCCCCCCCCCGATATATAGTAAATATAATTCGAAAGGTTCAAATTACAACAAAAATCTTTTCCTATTATGGAGTCATTCATATTAATTAGGGTACTCATATTTTGAAAACAATCTGCAAAAAAGACCTCATGTGGGTTGATACAGAAATACCTCTCTGGTATTTTGTATATGCAAAACAAACAAAAAGTGATGCTGTTTCTGGAATGAATAAAATAATTAAAGCAGCATGTTTTTAATACGACCTTTTTTTAAGTTCATGCATAAGTCTGATAAACCATGTTTACATTCATGAATAGCAAGAGATATTATGCTCACGAGATCAAAAGCACTTCAACCAAATAATTTTCAAAATGCCAAGCCCTATTCTATGTAATGAAAAATATTGTCATTGCTGAATAGTGATGAAGCAAAATTTAGATCTAGTCTTTTCTATTGTATAACTGGAACCTTGAGAGGCCTGTTCAATCTGGAACTTTTTGTGGCTGTTTTAGGAACAATATTCAGATTGGCTCTCTCAGCCAATGCTGGAAGATGCTTAAAATTCAGACCCTGTGCTGCAGCCAAAACTGCAACTGAATGAACACACTGGCCTGTAAGATCTTGAGTGGCAAAGGCAGGAAATAATACCAAAGAGTTTGGGAAGCTGAAAGGGAACATTAGCAGCAAATGTTCCAGCAAAAAGCCTGGTGCCATGTCACTTCATGCAATTGGAAGACTAAAAGTATGCAACTTTTATGCAAGGTGCATTCAAAACTCACTGAACAGCATTAAAAAGTCAGAATGCTTTTTATATATAACAGCATTTCTTCTGGAACCTGTTAGTTCTATGCAAACATGAAAAAGAGACATACTTGTTTACTTGGAATTGGGTTACAAACTGAAGTACTGGACAGAGGAGGTAGATCTTAAAAAGTGTTCCACCAAGACTTGTACTCAAAGGAGGAAACTTTGGTATTTTCTTCCCTTTGTTAAATCAGCAACACAATAATTGAATATAAAATAACTCACTTTCTTTAAAAAACAATAAAACAGATTATCCAAGCAGGAGAGGAGATCTGGAATCTTGGAACTGTTTCAGTAATGGAGCCTTGTCTCTTGACTGCTAAAACTTTGCAAGAGATGGAAAAATAACATTTTTCTTTCTCCATATGCTGAATTTTAGTAGCCTAGTTTTACTGGAATATTATAATATAAAGTATAATGGATGATTTCCCAATGTTCTGCCACAAGTTTTTCATCCTCAGATCTTGATTCTACTATATGCTTTATGATGCTCACAAACAATACAAATTTATATAAATTATATAAATTTAAATACTAAATTTATGCAGTACTTTTATCACCAGGCTGTATAGAAAACTCAATTTTAATTCACTAGAAGTTATCTAAGTGCTTAAACATACATCCGGTCCAAAATTTGAACTGTTGGTTTCACCACACAACACAAATGGCTAACTGCAATGGGCTGTATTTGTACATTTTTGGTGATTTTACTGTTAATTACTCAATCCATCTTCTCTGCTCTTAAACAGTATGGTAGATTAAATATTGGTTTGTGCTGCTGAAAATGAAAACAGGTGGTTTCTGGCTGGGGAGGAAATGTTTATAACCCTGGAGGATCCCAATTCTGAATAACAAAATAACAAGAGTTGGAAGGGATGTTGGAGTCTTCTAGTCCAACCCTCTGCTCAGGAAACCCTATACTCGTGATGGCGAACCTATGGCACACGTGCCACAGGTGGCACGAGGAGCCATATCTGTGGGCACGCGAGCATTGCCCTAGTTCAGCTCCCCAACTGACTTCCGGGCCCACCGGAAGTCAGGAAAAAGGCTGTTTCTGGCCTCCGGGGGGGGGGGGGGGGGAGACCGTTTTCGCTCTCCCCAGGCTCCAAGAAAGCCTCTGGCGCCTGGGGAGAGCGAAAAACAGGCCTACCAGGCCCACTGTGCCATCATGTGCCAAAAGAGGGGAAATTCTGGGGGCTCGCGCACGCATGCACAGTGGGGGCGCGGCACATTGAATTATGGGTGTGGGCACGCACGTGTGCGACTCCCCCGCATGACTCCCTGCTTTTGGCACGCGATGGCAAAAAGGTTAGCCATCACTGCCCTATACCATTTCAGAAAAATGCTTGTCCAATCTCTTCTTAAAAATGACTAGTGTTGGAAGTTTTTAACTTCTTGGGGCAAGTTGTTCCACTGATTATTTGCTCTAACTATCAGGAAATTTTTTCTTAGTTCTAGGTTGCTTCCCTCCTTGATTAGTTTACATCCGTTACTTCTTGTCCTCCCTCCAGGTGCTTTGGAGAAAAGATTGACCACCTCTTCTTTATGGCAGCCCCTTAGATAACAGAACACTGCTATCATGTCACCCCTTATCCTTCATTAAACTAGACATACCCAGTTCCTGCAACCATTCTTCATATGTTTTAGCCTCAAGTCCCCTAATCATCTTTGTTGCTCTTTTCTGTCCTCTTTCTAGTCTCAACATCTTTTTTATATCATGGTAACTCTTGATTACATGGTAGTTTGACTGCTATGGAGGGCAGCCAAACTATATTTCTCCTGAAGGGCCATCACCCATTGTCCTGAGGAACCTCAAATACAGGTAGTCCGCCACTTACAACAGTTCACTTAGTGACCATTCGAAGTTACAACAGCACTGAAAAAAAGGAATGTAGGACCATGTTTCATACTTATAACCGTGGCAGCATCCCCCATGGTCACGTGATTTACATTCAGATGCTTGACAACTGACTCACATTTATGGCAGTTAGTGTCCCAGGGTCACGTGATCACCTTGTGCTCACGTGACCATGGGACACTTAACTGTCATAAATGTGAGTCAGTTGTCAAGCATCTGAATGTGAATCACCCACAAGTGAAGAAGGAAACCAGATTCACTTAACGACCGAGTTACCAATTTAACAACTGCAGTGATTCATTTAACAAATGTGGCAAGAAAGGTGGTAAAATGAGGCAAAACTCCGCAAATTTCTCACTCAACAACATACATGTTGGGCTCGGCTACGGTCGTAAATGGAGGACTACCGGTGTGTGGATAGATTTGAGGCCACCCATTCCCTCTGCCAAACTCCTGACAGCGCTTCGCCAAGTCCCTGCGTGCCCTACACAGCTACTTTCTCAGCTTCCTGCTTCCTTGCTTTGGCGAAGAAGACAAATACCACGCCATGCGGAACCTAGGTTCTGGTTCTCCGAGAGAGCTCCCGGCTTATCCCCGCCGGCTTGGGCTGGAGCAAGGCGAAGGGCTGCAAGGCAGGGCGGGCGTCGGATTGGGCGCGAGCGGGCGGGCCGGCGCGCGCCTTGGAGATTGGTCTGCTCCGCGCTCAGCCCTCCCCAGCGCTACCGCTACCGCCGCCCCCGAGGACGGTGTGGAATCAAGTCGCGGCGAGCAAGGCTTGAGGGAGGCGGTGGCTTCCGCAAAGAGCAAAAGAGGTGGGTGAGGTCTGAGGAAGGAGGGGGGGGGGGAAGAGTACCCGGTGCCACTTCGGGGGCTCTTTTGCTGCCCGGGAAAGCTTCCCTGTCGCTTCGCCCGACCGTCGGCTCTTTTCACTGGGGGTGGGAGCGGTGGGGGGGAACGAGGGGCAAGGCCAGCCCACCGTTGCCTCCGAGGTGCCTGCCAAAGAACTTGTTTACTTGACTGCCGCTGGGCCAGGAGCTTACAAGGGAGGCTCTAGACTGCGGGTATCTGGGAGAGAAAAATCCAATGAAAGGGGGCGGCCGGCCAGCCGAGGGAGGGGGGCTGTTTGGCTGGGTCTAAGGGCCAGAGCCCCGGCCAGTTTCGAGCTGCCTTGCGCGCTTGTACTGTAGTCTGCCGGACTTTCGCCCCTGCAGCCGAGGAGCACTCCGTGAATGGGGTGTAACTCTCACAGTTCTGCAGAGCGAGGTTGTAAGCTGTGGAAATTCTGCCTTGACTGCAGCAGTTAAAAGACAGACAATCCTGTATTTGGGGGAGAGTGGCAATTTCATTCTATCCTCTGTAACTCTTCCGGGTATTATTTTTTTTTAATACTGGGTTGCTTTTGGCTGAAGTTGAATACTTGAAGGTACAGTACGGTACCTTTGTACTGTACAGTGCAGGAATTCGAAGTGGCAAACATAACTCTACTACCATAATCTCCTTCATTATTTCCAGGGATAATTTCTTTCTCAACCAGTCCCAGTTGAAAAAGTGCAGTTCTTGTGTTCTTTATCCTCACTTTCTGTATGTTCCTCTCTTACTGTATTTGATATAGTACTCTACTCTCCGGAGTCCAGAAGGCTAACATGCTACCAGCCTCTAAAAAGCTTGGGGAGAGGGATCCCAAAGAAGACCCATCTGTCACTCTCTTCCGGGAATATCTGAGAATCAAGACAGTCCAACCTCAGCCTGATTATGGTATTAAGTCTCTTTTTTTTCCCTTTCCTTAAAGAAAGACAAAGTTATATGGCTTTGTGTTTGACTAGATCCAATCTGCAGCCAGCTTTTGGCTGAACTGTTAGATGTCCACCATCCCACAGGAGCACACCCTCAAAAATCTGGTTCCTTTTATCAGTCAGAGTTGGCATTCTTGCATGATTTGTTAGACAAAGAGAAGCAAACTGATTTCTAAAGTTTACTTGAATGGAATTTATTTTACCTGTTCTGTCCATGGTGCATTCAGTTCATTTGCCACGTACAGTTGGTCTTATTGTGAAAAGAAAAGGCTCATCCAATTCAATTGTATGTATGTGAACTATAGTATATGTCTAAACTCCTTCATTCCTTTTTATTCCATATGAATTTAATGCTGCAATACTACATATCTTATGCATATTGACTTTCAGAATTTGTTGCACTGATAATCAGCATTTGGTACCTGAAACCTGTTAACAAAATTGGGGTGGGGATGGGGGAGAATTAACTTTCATATTATATCATGGGTTTTTTATTTTGAGAGCAATTTATGATCAAACTGTACTATATTACATTATGAGATTATAATTCTTGGTAAAGAAAAGGGTTTTTTTTCATTATGCATAACTTGCTATGTACTTTTGTAGAAATAACTAGCACAATGTGTAGCATATCTTTGCAAGCTGCTATATTAAATGACATTTTAAATATATATGTATTAAATGAAGATTTTCCTGAGCAAATACACAGTACCAACATAACTCTTTGATTTATGATTTATTTATGCACCTGTATGTTATTTTGTCCCTGGCATGCTCAGACAGAATTCTGCCTATGTAAGAAACATATTAGGAGTGTGCTTATTTACAGTAGGATAGTTTATTCATTTGTTACTAAAAATGGCCCAAATAATGTGATAAGAAAAATATATGTGGTTTTGTGTGTGTGTGCTCATGCATCCTTGTGTGTATGTATGTATGTAGTCCTGGATCTATGACTATAATAAGGACCAGAATTTCTATTTTAACTAAATTATACCCAATTTTATGACCTTTTTTCACATAGTTGTGAAATAAGCAAATCACTGCAGTTGTCAGGTGAATCGTGCAGTCATTAAGCAAATCCAACTTCCCCCACTGAGTGTTTATTGAAAACTGGCTGGGAAGGTTACAAATGACAATCATATGTCCCAAGGATGCTGCAGCTGTCGTAGCTACATGTTGGTTGTCAAGCAACCAAATTTTGATTGTGTGACGGGGGGATGATACAATCGTCATAAGTGCCAGAACTGGTTGTAAGTCATTTTTTTCAGTGCTGCAGTGATTCAAATGGACTCTAAACAAATGGTTGTAAGTTGAGGACTACCTGTGTGTGTGTGTGTATATATGTGTGTGTGTATATATGTGTGTGTGTATATATGTGTGTGTGTATACATATATTGTGATCTAAATCCGTTGAGAGTAAAACAAGGTTCTTTTGCATTAGTGTGGCATACTTTTGAGATGTAGAAGCTAGGCAGAATGATGATGTGCGACTTGTTCCTTATGTCCAAAAAAAGAAAGTTACACACATACACTCTAGCAAGCACTGAAGGAAGAAAATATTATTACCTCTCTTTTAAGTTTGGTTTAAAGGAGCATCTCCAGGAGAAGAATCCACCGAAAGCTAATATCAGTTGTGTGTTTGCAAATTTTTAAGAGTAAAAGCTAAAATGATCCCATCCCTTCGGTTTTAATTTGTAATTGGTTTAATCCAGGTTGTTTTAAATGGATAGCCAAAATTATTTAATGTTTTTAAACTGCTTTTAAATTTTATGTTATGTTTTACCATGGCTGTTCACCGCCCTGAGTCCTGTTGGAGAAGGGCGGTATACAAATTAAATAAATAAATAAATAAATAAATAAATAAATAAAAGTTTTTCCCCTCTTGCACTTTAGATTTCTGGCCGTATAAACTTATACAGCCAGAAACCTATACAATATATTATATATAATATATACAAACTTTTTGAAAGTTAGAAGACTTGGCAAGAAAACAGTTTTATATTTGGCTCCCTGTCACTATTTATGCAGAAAATATGCTTATGATTTCATCTGTGGGATAAATGAGGCAGTGCAATTCTTCAGAATGTATCTACTATTGATCTTCCACTATCTGGGGAAGAAACAGAGGCCATTGTCAGTTGTACTGTATAAAAATTGAATAAAGGAATTAATGGAAATGACAAGACTCAAGAACTTTTATAATCTGAATGAGGAATATATTTATTTAATTCTCACAGTGATTTCTCTATAGTTTTTATATCCATCTGTTGATATTTAGAAATAGTCCCCAAAAAGAACAAAGCATCAGGTCTGGGTTTTGAGTGAGCCCACTTGGGATGATGATTGCTTGTTTATTTTGTTCTGTGTCCAGTTATCTTTTAACTTGATTTTCATGTTTCATTATGATTATTTTATTGATTGTTACCTTCCCAAAAGTTCATGTTGTTTGGATGGCCATATAAATAAATAAAATAGTATAAGTCTGTCTAGTTCAGGGATGTTAAACTGGCGGCTCACGGACCAGATGCATCACACACAGGCCACACCCACCCCAGTTCCGCAAAGGGGAAATATCACATGATGGCAATGTGACGCAGTGAATTTGACACCCGTGGTCTTCTCCCAGTGCCTATGTCCAGGGTTGAAATCCAGCAGGTTCTGGAGAACTGGTAGCAGAAATTTTGAGCAGTTCGGAGAATCGGCAAATAACACCTCTGGCTGGCCCCAGAGTGGGGTGGGAATGGAGATTTTGCAATATCCTTCCCCTGCCACACTCACTAAGCCACGCCCACTAAGCCACACCATGCCCACCAAGCCACGCCCACAGAACTGGTAGTAAAAAAATTTGGATTTCACCACTTCCTGTGTCCATATAGAAAATCAGTGTTAACTGCAAGGCTGACCTCCATCTAGATCTTCATCATTTTCATTGTGGAGGAGCTAATGTTTCTATTGAATAGATTTGTAGAACTTTCATTGTAAACAAATCTATTCAATAGAAACATTCATTCAGAATAACATTCTGAAATCTTAAGGCCTCCATATTAATTCTAGAATGCCTCAGTGTGTCAATGTTTCTCTTTTTAATAATTGATGCTTTTATTTTAATTATTTTTGGATGGGAAGATACATGTCAAGGAGAACTGAAATGCACCACCTTGAAATGTAAAGTAGAAACAATGATGGCTCAGTTGACGGAGTGCTGGAAGCACGAGTTATCTCTTCAGGGGTGGTTCATTGTTAATTTTATGGCTTTGGGCAATTTGCTGTATTTCCACGATAATGCTTGTCATCTTTAAAAATATTCGTAGAATAATTAAAATAAACAGTGATAGATAACAAGTGAGTTGAAGACATAAGAAGGCCCAAGTTTTCAAACCTTGTCCAGTGCTTTATCCTTGGGGCAAAGTTTTATTCCAAATATTGCACATGGGGAAAAGTTTTATAGAACTTGTACTGTCATTTTTAAAAATTAAATATTGATTGAAATAAAAAGACATGTGTAATTTTCATGGTGGCTTCCTATTCTCTTCCAGAAACGGCAGTAAAATTCCTGGAAAGAATAGCTTCTGAACTCGGTCTACAGTGTCTGAAAGTGGAGGTAAAATAATGAGAACCCCTTGCACTTATTCGGATTCTGTCAGTTTCTAATTTGTTCCTGCATGGCCTTTTTGCGCTCATAATTTAGGGAAAAAATCAGCATCATTTATCTTAGTCATGCAGGTTTAAACTTTGAGATAAGGGATTTAAAAAAATAAAACTTCACCCGCATATATTGTTATTGATAGCAACATAGAAGTGATTTGTTAGTGCTTTCTACAAGGATAGTTGGGTGGGGTGGGGTGAGGTGGGGTGGGAGAAGGATTTCCCTATCTAACATTATCAGGAAGTCTCCCATTAAAGTTCTATGCAAATCTAATCTAATTTACTTTTTAGCTTATAAAAATGTCAGCTAGATCCTGCTATCTGCTGAGTCAAAGTCAAGGAATACTCTCATATATATATTACTGCTACAGCTCAGGATTTCAATTTCATTCCATTGTTAAAATAGATATAATGGTACATTGGGGCAATGTTTGTTTGGGCAATTTTCCAAAGAGATATTTCTATGCATTGTTTTAACTAACGTTGCTTTACTCTGTCCACTGAGTTAATAATAAGGAATAAGGAATAATAAGGAATAAGGCATTCATTTCAAATTAGGAGGAAAAAAACTGTAAATGATTTTAACAAAGTTCAGTAGCATAGTTGCTAAAGGCTTGCTACCTAGAAACATGTTTAAAAAATAGTGACCCGAACATCTGTCAAAATTAAACTCTTTAATAGCACATACTAATTATCCATAGGATAAAGTGGACAATTGGTGGAATTTTATTTTTTGCAATTTATCCCCTTCAAATGTTTTTGCTGTTCTCATCTGTTTCTTTCCTCCAGAGTTGTGTAAAGTCTTATTTCCTGTATAATTGCAAGACACATACCCATGTTACAATTGCATGTGTGATATAAATGCAAAGATACAGACATACGGGCAGTAGATCAGTTCACATAGCTGTTTTCCATGAACTCTGCATGCGTCAGTCACAGAGAATAAATTCATGCTGCTAGAATTAGTCCGGGCAGTTGCATCATTCACATATAATTGTCTAAGGTTACAGCATGGGGAACTGGTTTCCATGTGTCTGTACAAAGTATATTATTGAGATAGTGATCATTATTCAAAAATCACTTGGATCATGTCATCTACCAGCTATAGTGTTAGCTGCCTACTTAGGCAGTGAATAAGTTTATAGAGGAAATGGGTATCCAAGTTTGTTAGTCTTAATAATTGTATCTTACTTCTAATTTCAAAGACAGTGTATCTAAATATTAGTTATTGGGGACCAATAATCCTCATGTCCTGCTTGTAAATCTCCCTGATAAATTTTGGTATGAGTAATATGTTGGATGAAGTAGATATTTGGCCTGATTCAACAAAGATCCATTTTTAATCATTTATTAATGATTTCAGAGCTATAACAATATTATTTAAAACTAATTAACATAGAATTAAGGCATTCTATGTTATCACCTGATGTAATGTTCAAAAAACTGTACTAGTGTTGGAGAAACTTAAATCTAAATCTACAAACATCATGTAACTGATTTGATGGCCTCACATACCAGAATCTAGTTATGAGAATGAAAATGAGCTGATAATACAAACAAGGACCCATTTAGGTTAGTTTAACCATTTTGGACAAAAAGCAAAATAGAGATGTAGTAAAAGGGTGCTACTGCCAGGGTTTTTTAAATTGATTTTTAATTTTGATTAATTTGGGTCCATTGAATGCTAATTTTGATAAATTAGGGTTCATGGCATGAAGATAATTGATTCAGGCTTACTATCAAGTGTCTGATTGAATCATACTATGGTATGTTTTAGATTGCTTATAGTTTGTAATAAACCTGTTGGAGCTGTGATCCTTTGAAGAGCTTGCTATCCAGTTAATCTCTTATTACAGGTTCTATATCCAATAACCCAACCTGACCTTTTCAGCTTTATGTGCCGCATTTAGATTGATACGTGTTACAAATAAATGCTATAAAAATGTTTTTACTAGGAAAAGGCAAGAAATATCATTTTGCTAGGCTGTTCTTTTATGTCTGTTCCTGTGTTAAAACCAATTCTCCCCAGGTTGACTGAGCTGAAAGTGTTAAAATGCTCCTATGTAAATAAATCATTTCAAGAACTGGGACTTCCCTTTCTTTCAATATTTATGGTAATCAGAACCAGTTTTATAAAACTAAATTGACTTCCAGCCTGTTTTGAGTTTCCCATGCCGATTGGAGTTGCTGTGGGCTACCTCTGATGGCATCTGGATTTTCTCTAAACAGAAAATTAAAATTGAGAAGTGGTTAATGGATCTTGAATATATGGTACTTTGGAGCTGCCTGAAGAGAAGTAGAGAAAGAAGGCATGTCTGTCTGAAAATAATTTTCTTTGCAGTTGCTTATATCCGAAAAGCAGTTTGTATGTATAAATACTATGTGTAATGATTATTGCTTCCACTTTCTGTGTCTGTACTTCTGCTATTGTTTTCAGTGTCTGGATTCACATAGCATGCTAAGCCATAATGATAGGGTCTTGAGCAAGATGCTGGGCTAGACATAAGTTCTCTAGCAAAAGTGACTATCATACAAGCCAGGATTTCAGCAACGAAACTCTGAAATTCTTAGCAATCTCCTTTTTCTTATTAAATTTAATAAAAGTATTTTGTCATTTTCTTAGAATAATACAACTTTTCAAATTCAAATTTTATTTTATAAAATTGTCTTCTCCCCATGAAAAGCGAGGAGGGTGTATATAGTGTGTACTTACTGAAAACTACACAAAGTAGTTTTCAGTAAAAACTTCAAAGTGAGTCCTATTTTCCAAAGTGACACAAAGAATCCCATCTGACGTAATGTTCTGTTGCAGGTCTGCCCTGACCGTGTGATCACGATTCTGACTTGGAAAGGCACAAACCCACAACTCAGCTCCATCTTACTGAATTCTCATACAGATGTTGTTCCCGTGTTTGAGGTTAGGAGATTCACAGTGGGGATTCAGTAGCAACTTTAACCTTGCTGGAAAAGAGAATTGGGGGATGATTGGGTTCCTTCTTCAAAACAACTTGCAAAAGCCAGGAAATATTATTCCAGGGGAGAAGTCGTGGATCTTATCTTCCTCTTTGCTATTCCTTGTTTTAATTTACAAGTAATCCTCAACTTGTGATCATTTGTTTAGCGACTATTTAAAGTTACAGTGACACTGAAAAAAGTGACTTATGACTGGTCCTTGCACTTAAAATCGATGCAATGCCTCCGTGATCATGTAATCATGATCCAAGCACTTTTGCAACTGGCTTGCATTTACGATAGTTACAGTCTTCTAGAGTCATGTGATCACCATTTGCCTTCCACCACTTTCCATCCAGCTTTTGACAAGCAAAGTCAATGGGGAAGTTGGAAGGGAAGATTGCAAATTGAGATCATGTGATGTCCTTGTGACCATGGTGATTCACTAAATGACCATGGCAAAAGAAACCCCATAAAACTGGGTATGGTCACTTGATTCCTCACTTAACGACTTCACTGTTTAATAATGAATTTATGGTTCCAAGTGTGGTTGTAAGTCGAGGACTAAAAACTGTTGGTGGTGCAGTGGTTAGTATGCAGTATTGTAGGCTAACTCTGCCGACTGCCAGCAGTTCAATTCTTACCGGCTCAAGGTTGACTCAGCCTTCCACCCTTCCGAGGTAGGTAAAATGAGGACCCAGATTGGTGGGGCACAATATGCTGTCTCTGTAAACTGCTTAGAGAGGGCTGTAAAGCAGGCAGCTCCCCTGCAGGCTGGTGCACCCGGGTGGTGGAGCTGCTCTGGGATGACCAAAGGGCCAGTCCTGTGACTACTACAGCTCTGGAATATGGGACCAACTTTCCCACCAAGGTCAGCAACCCACCACTGTCACTGTGCCCATCCTCGTTTTCCTTCACTTGGATTGACCAAGCTTCTTGAGAAAAGGAACACAAAAGAAGTTTCCAGGTTGTGTGCCTGGACCAGGCACTTTCTCTTGGGCCTCCCACCTGGAGGCCACACAGAAGTAGACAGGTAGGCCCAAAAGACAGCTAAGCCTCCCCCTCCCCAGTGGTCCGTGGGATTTAAAATTATGCATTTTGTGGTTGGTCTCTGAGGTCCAAAAGGTTGGAGATCCCTGGACTAAACAGACTTTCATTCTGTGAATGAAGGCAAATATACATGTCCCAGGATAATGATGCAGGATCCAATCTGAGTTAGTCATTAGGACCAGAGGTTTGTTCTTCCAAGCTTTAGAACTTGTACTGTTCCCTGAGGATGGGCTCCAGCACGAGTCTGAAAGCTGGAAGAACAAACCTCTGGTCTCAGTGACCAACTCAGATTGGATCTTGCAAACATTCATTCCCGCCATTGGTGGGTTAAGTGTGTTTCTACAAAGACATTTTAGATAAAATTAGCTTAGGGGAACGAGATAAGAAAGAAATATCACTTGAGTGTGTACTTATGTTTAACACACTCTACTGAAATAGTTAAGCCCAACACTTTAGGCTGGTGCATTATCTACTGGAGGAATAAATAAAAAATCCAATAATTCAAGAAAAATGTCATTGCTTTCTTTCCAACTATGAGTCTGACTCTAAAATTGTGGTCCATATGCAGTATATTTGTTCCAGACAAATCTTTTGAGCTTGTATTACAGTTGTACTACTGTAGTGGAAGATTGCTACACAACAATTACTCCATAGTTGCTGGGATTTTATTGTGGTATAAATAGTAGAAAACTGCCATTCAGGGCAGTGAATTAGTTACCATAAAAACTCTGGTTTTAAAAAAGTACTTCTGAAAGATAAAGCTCTATGAAATGTTAATGTAAATCCAGAAAGCTTCAGCAAAACTGGATGATGGGAGAGTTCTAAATGAAGCTCCCAGCTTTAATTAAATTACCATAGAAGATTTACAGACTCACCAACTTTCGGTAATGATAAAAGGAGGCAATTAACATGATGCCTTCATGATTATTTTGCTCCTGGTTACCTTGCAGCTTCCATGCTTTGCAACATTTCGCAGAAAAACTACTTCCTCACACAGAGAATCCAAAAAGCACCTTTCCAAAAATCATCCTTGCTGAACTCAGAAGCAAGTTTTTCAAAGGTTTCCTAGTTTCTCACATTAGGAAATGTGTAGGTTTATATAGATTTGTTCCCAGTATTGTAGTGTATCTCTGAAAACAGCCAGACTTTTCCTTTAATGTCTTAGCAGGCTGCCATAAGGGCAAAACCTCATTTCTCATCCATTCACATTTTTCTGATTGTTTCATTTTCTTTCCTTCAGGAATATTGGCAGTATGATCCTTTTTCGGCTTTCAAGGACTCTGAGGGAAATATCTATGGACGGGGAGCTCAAGATATGAAATGTGTATCTATCCAGTAAGTGTAACCCATCTTATCTTTCTATATATGTTCTAGACCAGGGGTGTCAAACTTGCAGCGTCGTGGCATCACGTGACGTATCGCAACTTTTTCCCTCTTCGCTAAAATGGAGGTGGGCATGGCCAGTACGTGACGCATCCAGCTTGCAGGCCATAGTTTAACACCCATATTCTAGACAGTACAAAAGAGATTTATTTAATAAGGAAAGCTATGTTGGCATTTTGTCTTGCAAAATGATTGAAGTGAAGGGATGTGACCAAGGGAATAATTCGTGCAAAGAGCATTTTAGTTATAGCTGTGAAAGTGATAGAAATAAGTACAATAACTTGATTTGTTAATCCTGTCTGTTTTGATTATGTGCTGTTGTGCCATATTGTTTCATAGTGACAACATAGATCAGGGGTGGCCAATTAATTTTCCCAAGGGACCATATGGGACCACATTAGAGGGCTGAACCAAAAGGGCTGTGAAGCTATATAGGCAGGGATGCATACCCATATGTAAATTGAAGGGAAAAAAATAAGTCGCTTTCAAAATAAAAGCAATGCACTTGTATTGCATGCATGATATAAATGAGACCAGTTTACTGGGCCTCTGGCAGCCCAAGGATAAACCAATCTACCCATTTTCCAAGCATTCTGGCAGTACCCTTTGATACTTCTGGCAGTTAAGCCTATTTAATTTTCGATTGATATGAGCCAGACAAAGATAATCAAAGGGCTGGATGTAGCCTGGAGGCTGTAAAATGCCCAGGTCTGACATAGACTTTCTCCATGATAACCTGTCCCTAACCTAGTCCTTCAGGTCATTCATAATCTCTGTAACTGAGTCCATCCACCTTGTTGTTGATTCTTCTTTTCTTCTCTTTCCTTCTACTATAAACTGACTGCCTATTAACATAAAGCTGATCAATATTACCCCATTTGTTCAGATTGAATGATGTATTTTAAAGATGAGTTGCTTTATATAAATACAATATACATTCTAATGTTTTTGTCCCTTATCTTGTTTTATCCTTTTTCTGTTTGTTTTTATTGTTATATCTTTCCCCCTTCATTTCTGTTTATTGATGCAATTAAATAAAAATATAAAAATTGTATCTCATTGGCCAAAAAACAGCAAGCTGGAATAGGCAGATTGCTGCTGCATTCAGAAGATGGCTGAATGGTACCTGGTTAATTCTTGCAAGCAGAAAATAGGCGCCTTGTATATGAACACCTGGCTCTGCTTTGCCCTGCAAGGCATGTTTTAGAATTCAGGGAATTTTGATCCAGACTCCAGCTAAGTATTTGCTCCTTTCCAATATCTAGCATCCGTCATCGATACATACACACTCCTTTTTCTTAAAAGTGCTATGTTATCCTGCATATCCTCAAGTCCATCTAACACCATAATAAAGTTTGGAGACAACAATGATGTTGGAGCTTATAACTGGCGGGGACGAATCAGCAAACAGGGAAGTCCAGAAGGTATCCATATGGTATTCAAAAAACAACTTACATCTAAATACTAGCAAGACAAAGGAGATGGTGCTAGATTTTCGGAAGCACAGAGAGGAACCTGCCCCACTGTATATTGAGGGGGGCTGTGTGGAGAGGGTTTCCTCTTTTAAATTCTTGGGAGTGCTCATTAGTCAAGCTCTCACCTGGAAAAATAACACATCTCTGGTGGTTAGTAAGGCTCAACAGAGACTTCATTTCCTTAGAGTCCTGAGGAAAAATCATGTGGAACAACGGCTGATGACTTCTTTCTATCTGTCTACGATAGAATGTGTCCTCACATACTGTATAACAGTATGGTATGCTGGTCTAACAGCTGCGGACAGGAAGGCACTACAGAGAGTGATCAATTCAGCACAGGAAACCATTGGTTGCCCTCTAACACCACTGGATGAAATCGCCAGGTCTCACTGTTTCAGCAGAGTAAGGAAGATACTTAGGGATGATTCACACCCTGGCCAGTGTCTCTTTTCACTTCTACCATTGGGCAGAAGACATCGAAGCATAGCCAGCCGGATAAACAGGTTTAAAAACAGCTTCTACCTATGGGCTTTCAGACTCTTAAACACAATCACAATCATTCCACGCACATACGGAAACATATGACTAGTCTTCCCCCCCCCCCCAATTACTTGTATAGGGATTATTCTCTATACTATTTTTCTGTTATGGATTGCACCAGAGAAGCTAAACCAATTTCATTGTATATATGATGTACAATGACAATAAAGGCTATACTACACTACTATACTACTATTAATGAGCCACTAAATAAGGCATTTTTTCTTTCAGATACCTAGAAGCCATACGGAGGCTGAAAGCTGAAGGAAGACATTTTCCACGAACCATTCATATGAGCTTTGTCCCAGGTGAGTTAAATAATAGGCACATAGTATAATCGGGTGTCTCCTAGGTTTTGCTCAAAATGATAGATCGTAGAAGCAAAAAATATGGCAACTCAACACCATAGGGTTCACTCTGCTTTCATGTGCAAAGAGGCTTCACTAATGGTCTGCTGAGGACATATTCTCACAACCGAGCATTTCTTGTGTGTTCATTCAGCAGCAGATCAAAGTCAGGCTAAGGTGTTCTGGTATGAAAATAATGTTAATGCTGGCAGAAAATTTCCCATGTGGACATTCTAGGGTATGTGGAGGAGAAACCTTCAGAGATCAACCGTCTACTAGCTTCTGTTGGTCTGCTCCAGAATTGCCCTGTCCCAACTGGCTGGTGTTTCATGTCTACTGCCATTCTTGCTTTGGTTGCCATACTGACACAACTTTTCTGTTTTCTTATTGTTCAAACATGGGAGCATGTTTTGGGTCTTCCACAAGATAAGTATTTCCATTGAGATGCAAAACTACAATCTTCACAGGTGGGAGCCCCCTTATGCCCAAGGGCTTTCCATCTAGGAGCTTCTCTCCTTCCAAATTAAGAGTCACACACTGGTTTTTAAAAGTTCTGTCTCCAAGAATATCAAGCAATTGATGCATATATGACTAGGATTTTAAAAACTATTGCATGATTTTCAGAGCCCAAATAATAATTTTAAAGGGTCGAAGCTTGTGATTCTAAGCCTGCAGTGCTGAATTAAAAGTGTGATGCAATAAAAAGAGCTTTCAGAGATACTCAAAGCAACTGTTCCAAGGAAGCATCAGAGCCAGCTGGAGCAGAGGTACAAGGACAGCAATCGGCTGTTCATTTTTCCCAATAGATAATTCTGCATGGAAGGGAAAAGGAGAAGAAGTGCTCCTCCAACCACAGCTCTGAAACCTTTTTATGCTGTCATATTTTTGACTTGAGGACAGAATCCATTACTGTGGATGTGTGGAAGGATTGGTAAATGCAATCTCCCCAGGCAAATAAGATGCAAGCTAAGTCACCTAGCAAAACCCACAGAAACCAATAAAGTAAACATTTTCAGTATGGATTTGTAACAGAATGTTTTCAGTATATTGTTTTGGAAGAAAAACATAGATTTCATTTCTGCAGCAAAATCTCAAAACCAATATTTATCACTGTTGGTTAAACAATATAGGGAGATTAAGTAAAACATATAAATATAAGAAAATATTTGTAGCTCAGGGTTGAACTTTTACAGATCATTTGTACATATTCCAGCAAAATGCACACCAACACAATTTTATCAAAAAGTGCCTGACCATATAACACACTACAATTCTTCAAACAACACAAGCTATGAAAAAAATAACACTACCATACATTTAAAAAACCTAACAAACTATTACCACAACATGGCATCACCATAGCCCACAAACCAACTAAAGCCTTTAAATTCTAAAACACTGTAAGTAAACCAAAAGACCTATAGTGGTAGCTCCAAAAGAAAAAAACAGGACTCATCTACAATATACAGTATAAGCACTGTTCCAGCCACTGAGTAGGGACAGGCAGGCAGAAGACTAGCAGAGTGCATCCATGAACACTAACTAGCAGTCAGAAGACATGATGAAAATTCCTTACTTTCACAACTCATGAACAGATCTAACTATAGTTTCAACTGAGTAGCCTAGACCAAACCAAATCCAATATGCTGAAGAATTCCTGGAAGCCTAGGACTCAAACAAATCAGCCATATCAACATAGATAAACAAACTACAGCCTAATCAAGAAGAAAGCAACACTCCCACCCACAGCAAAAGGGCAAGTCACAGTGTATATACAGAGAGCAAACCCCACTTGTTTCTAGCACTGAAGGTGTTACCTAACTGTGTAATGAAGCATCTGCAAGAAAACAAGCAAGTTCAGCCTCAAGGACTCTATAAAACATACATGTTTTATATCAGGAGACAAAGCTATATTTAGGAATGGAAAATATGTAAAGAATGAAAGACAAACTATTGGTCAAAATTTCATTACAAGGTTGATTAGCTGTTTTTATTACTAATTTGTAATGTACAGATTAAAATTAAAAAAAAACCCCACAAACTGCAGCAGTTGTTTCCTTTAATACTTCTATCAAATCATAAATGATAGCTTTACTAACTCTGTAACTATTGGTATACCAAACCTCTCTATTTAGTGTCCATGTTTCCTCTCAGTAACCATAGAAGGTTGATAACTCTTGATTTCCTCTCTGGGTGGCTGCTTGTTCCACAGATAACCCAGTAGCAGCAGCTGGGTGGAATGAGAAATTTCTGATGGTGGTGATGGATTTCTTTAGCCAGAGAAAGAAAATATTTACTGATAAAACAGTTCTCATCTTTTTTTGCTGCAGGACTGTCATTGGAATATATTAGATGGCATGTAGATAATTAGATAATTAGATTAGTAGATAATTAAATTCAGAAGTAGTTTGATACAACACCATCACGATGCCATTTTTAAAAATGATAACAATTTTAAAAAATCACAGTGCCTCCAAACTTTCATTAGGACCCTAGTATAGGGGAAGAGAGACTAACCCTACCTTCGTTTCTTTGACAATTAATTCCCTTCATCTCATCTGCGGCTGTGATCAAGCAGCATACTACTAGGGTGTGTCATACTCTACTCCAGGGCTTACAGCAGCTTTGAGGGGGAAATTAATTGAAAAATGATGCAGAGACTTTTGAGCAAATAAATGATTTGGGATCTTTTTGCAGTTCTTCTAAGATGGTTCTACTCTCTTCTTTTGTTGCATCCCAGTAAGACTGCACTTGTGGTCTCAAATGTGATGTTATGTCCCATTAAACAGAGCGATTGCTTGCCTGATTAATAGCAGGAACCAATTAGTGTATTACAAATTTTGGGGCAGACATACAAAAAATGCTGATGAATGGGTTTTGGAGAAAAAGCAATTTTTGTTCTTTGCGGGCTATGCTAGTACAAAGAGAGGAGGCCCCCTGCGTGCCAGATTGCAAAGCACAAAAGCTCTCTTGGATCCTAGTGGGAACTTTGCACTGTAATTAGCTCTTCAAATATTCCCCCTTTGAAATGCTGGTTTGGAGATCAAAGCAAAAGTATGTAACTGTCTGGGCTTTCTTTTTCTTGCAGATGAAGAGATTGGGGGCCACAAGGGGATGGAATTGTTTGTGAAGACTCCTGAGTTTGCGGCACTTAATGTTGGCTTTGCTCTGGATGAAGGTGAAAATCCATAGTATGGCATTTGGGAAGCAATTTTGGAATTGAAAAATATGCTGTAACTGAAATCATTTTCCTTTTTTTCTTAATAAAATTATTCTTTGTGATTACTTTGTTTCCTTCTCAAAGCTGTATGACTATAGCAGGGGTCAGCAACTTGCAGCTCCGGAGCCACATGTGGCTCTTTGGTCCCTCTACTGTGGCTCCCTGTGGGGTGATCCCACCACTGGCTGGCCCCACCCCTCGCCCTCCCTTCCTAGTCACTCCTCGCCTGCCTGAGAAGGTAAGGGTGACGGCAGGGGATGGAGAAGCGGCCAGGGCAGAGACAGAGAGATACAGAGAGAGAGGGGGAGAGAGGGGAGAGAGAGAGAGATGTCAAAAGGATTTTGTGGTTCCCGGTGTTTTTTAACAACTGGTTCTCTGCCCTAATGACCGGCTGGGTAGGTGTGGTTAGGGGGTCATGTGACTGGTAGAAGTGAGTTACATCGAGTTGGCTACGCCCACCCAGGTTTTGTGACTTCCGGTGTTTTCTATGGGAAACGGGTCCAAATGGCTCTTTGAGTGCTTAAGGTTGCAGACCCCTGGACTAAAGGTTTGTTGTCTCTGAAGGAAGATCTATGCAGCCCTGGTGCAGGTTCTATACTTGCCAATAATAATAATAATGTCCTCCCCTACATGAATACAAAGCCAGTTAGTTGATGCTATAATTCCTAGCCAAAAGGTTTTGAAGAAAGGCTCCTCTATATTTGAATGGCATTTGTTATTTACGATTATTGTTTTGATTTCTCCTAGGCCTGGCAAACCCAACAGACACTTTCACTGTATTCTATGGCGAGAAATGCCCGTGGTGTAAGTAAGATCTGAAATGTTGTACTCCCTCTCATCTCTTTTCTTTTTAATCTGCATCATCCTAAAATCTATGCTGAAAACCATCTGCCGTATCTCCACCACACATAATGCATGAATTCTTTTGAACAGTTTCTGGAGTTTTGTCAGTTTTATGTCTACTCTATATATTTTTCTTAGTTGCAGCTGTATTTCTTTGCCACATCAGTTTTCACTCTGTAGAACTGTAGTCACAGTTACATCACTGGATTGATGTAGAATTTTAGACCTCCCCCGATGCCTGTTGTTTTATAGTTTGGAATTTCAATAAAGGCATTGTGAAACTTTCTGATATATTATAGTATATGCCTGCAATTTAATTTAATGCAAATGTTGAAATCTGATTCTCTGAAAACTCAAAAATACTGCAGTTAATGTTGGCAACTATATCTAGTTATTAGCCTTTACTTGTGTATTTGCAAATTATGTGAATATATAATATATATCTATTTATCTTGTGTGTGTGTGTGTGGTGTATACATGTATACATGTTATTGTTTTTATTATTGTGTTGATTATATTCTATTTTATTATAAAAGATGGTATATGCATTATCTTTTCCCCAAATTTTATTTATAAATTACAAGAAAATATGTAAAATGTAAATACATTTTAAAAAAGCAACACAAAGAATATACACAATTAACAAGATAATCTTCAAACGTAAACAGAGAAAAAAGATTAGTAGGAATTAAATACAGAAAAAAATTGTTTCTCTTCAAAAGATACATGCATTATGGTTACAAACTGCAGATAGAGATAGAGTTTTATGGATAATTTTGTTACCATTTCCGATGTGAAGAAGTAAGCCTGTTCTTTTATATTATTTTTGAATTATTTTTTATTTTTAAACAAAACATAAAACATAAATCCATCATCCATTACAATTGCAAACAGTGTGTCGGTCGGTTACAAATCTTTTGTGCATCTTCACCATATTCATAACTTACTGATTATCTAATTTCTCATATTATCAGTCTAATATATATCTTTGTATAATTATCCTCACTGATCATTGTTCTTTTATTAAAGCTGCTGATTTCTTTGAAAAAAGAGTTTATCTGTTAAGTATAGTTGTGTCCTTCAGTGCATTGTTACTCCTTTGGAACATGGCACACTTTCAGGTGGAAGAGAAAGATATATCATATATATATATACACTTTATTCAAAATGTGTTAATTTTTGGGATCTACTTTGAAATACTCTCTCTCTTTCTCTCTCTCCCTCCCTCCCTCCCTCCCTCTCCCTCTCCCTCTCCCTCTCCCTCTCCTTCCCTCAAATTTATATATAAATTAATGGCAATAACTAGTATGTCAAATACCTGCTGTCAGGGTATGCTGATACTTGCTGTATTTAGGGAGTCGTACACTGTATAAATGCACATTGACATCTTAATTACTGTAGATAAAAGATCCTAGCACAATTTTTTGAGCTTGTCAGCACTACAGAGGCACAGAATAACTGATCCAGAGTTATTCTGCTTCATACTTGTATTTAACAGGAATAAATATTGAGGACAATTGATTAACTCAAAGTCAGTTTGCAAATTATTTAAGTTTTTTCTCACTATATTAATAGTATCCAATCTTAAACAAAACTACTAGGAGACTGATGTACTTTTTAACTGCACCCATTCTACTTGCTGTGGTAGTTAAACCATGTAACTGTTTGGCTTGCTTTGCTTTACTTTATTTTTACATTTACATTTATGGTCTTTCTTGAAATGACCTCAGGGATTAAAGTGAAAGTAGAAGGGAATCCGGGACATGGATCCAGATTCATTGAGAATACAGCTGCTGAAAAGATGGTAAGAGACCATTCTCTATAATATACAGGGCCAAGGAAGGATGGCAGATAGAATTACTTATTAGTATTAACATGTAAAAGTAGAAAATCAAAACAGACCCTTTATATGAACTGGTTGTTTTGCTGGCTGTAATGTGCAGTTTAGAGTAGGATTATCAAACTGCTCAAATTTGATTATGAAATTCAGCCAATAAACCTCTATGGTCAGATGTTATGAAAGTTGTAGCCCCTCAGCTTCTAGAGAGAAAAAAATTGCTGATTTTTGATTTACAAAGATTTTTTTCCATTTTATCATAATTCGCTAAAAGAGGTATAATCCCATCTTGTCCAGAAGCTGACACTAAAGGCAGTACTGTAGAAGCACTGACAGTGGGGAGAATGCTTATCTTTGCATTTACTTTTGATTTTCCTGTTCATAGCACAGAGTGATCACTTCTTTCCTTGAATTCAGAGAACATGAAAAACAAAGGTAAGAAATAAAAAGAGGTCAAGTCTGATTGTGCTATGGCTTTCATAGACAATACAGTACATGAAATATACAGTTATCCAGCACTGCTCTACCAGTCTTTTATTGCAAATAGATTCCTATCACAAGTGTCCATTTGAACCTTCAGCTGTGATATAGAAAACTATTCAGCTTTTTTTTTTTTCTATAATGGAACTGAAAGATATAGATGACATATTTCTCTCATTGCCCTTTGATTCTCTAAAATGGATCTGGGAGTTTTTCATTTTAATGATGAAGAGGGTGAGTAATGAGTTGCAGAGCACAGCTCTGCTGTAACTCTACTGAGATGAAATTCACAAAATAATTTCATAAAACCTATTCTTGCCTTCATATAATACTGTATATAGTGATGCACTTTGCATAATTCCTAAGAATTTCTGATAAGTGAAGCACTTTAAAGAGGTGCTTTGTAAATCCAGAATGGCATATTCACAAAGGACATTTAATTTTGAAAATTATCTGTGTTATGACATTTATTAATATATTGTTGGATGTTACACTATCTACCATTTGTCATGTATGAAGAGCCAATCCTCAGAAATATGGCTGGGTCCACTTGTAGGAGCCACTCTCACAACACTAGTATATTGTTGTTATTGTTAGTTGCGAAGTCGTGTCCAACTCATCACAACCCTATGGACAACGTTCCTTCAGGCCTTCCTGTCCTCTACGATCCTCTGGAGTCCATTTAAGCTCACACTAGTATATAGTTGGTTAGAATCTGAGAACATTGAGCAACATGTCTGAGATTAAATTAATGCATGTAACAATTCTGATAAATGCAGGGATGCTTTACTGTGATGGCATCTGTACTGCCAGTGATAGAAGTTATGTTTTATATGTATGTTTTTAAGATAATGTGTAAATTACAGAATCAGGTATCTTCTGCAGTTTTTGTTGGGCAGTGATTCCTATAAATATTTGGGCAGGCGATCACATGCCGTTTCTTCATTCTCAGGGATTTAGCAATGAATTTATTTAAAAATTTCAAAGAAACTGTATATATATGTGTGTGTATTTTTTTGGTTCTTTCTCACAGATTGAAAACAGAGGGACATCTCACTTTAGGAGATGTAACATCCGTGAACCTGACCATGTTGAATGGAGGCGTATCATTCAATGTGGTCCCCTCTGAGCTCTCTGTTGCCTTTGATATCCGAATCCCTCCCACGGAGGACTTAAAGGTACAGAGAAGGAGAAGGTTACCAGTTTTCATTCCATAAAGATTTGCCTTGAATATCTCATCATAACCGGCCAGAGAATGTATTAGCTCTTCCCACCGACACTAGAAACAGCAACAGTAGTTGAATAGAATAGAATAGAATGGAAGGGAGGGGAGGGGAGGGGAGGGGAGGGGAGGAGAGGAGAGGAAGAGGAAGAGGAAGAGGAAGAGGAAGAACCAGTTGGAAGGGACTTTGAGGTCTTCTAGTCCAACCCCATGCTCAGGCAGGAAACCCTATACCATTTCAGCCAGTATTTATTATTTATTATAAAATGATTGTACAGTACTTATTTGCAATTAGTTACAGGCATATCTTGTTATGCCCATGTAATACCACTATTCGATGAACTACACTGTTTCCCAATATGCTTTTGGATGCAATTCAAGCTACTGGTTATCTTTAAAGCCCTGCATGGCATAGGACTGAATTACTTCTCCTAAGAACATCTCCCTTTGTCACATTCTCTCACATGAAGGGCATGCTCCAGGTCCCTTCTTTTAAATCTTGTCATCTTCAGGACCTAGAAAGGCTGCTATTTTTTGTGTTTAACCCTAGAAGAATCTCCCCTCCCCCATATATGACAGTCCTCAACCCTCCTTGCCTTTAAGAAAATCATTAAGACCTGGCTCTTCCCTCAAGCATTTGGGGATAGTTGTATGGGAGTTACCCTGTGGTGATTTTGTTATGTGCCTGTCGCCATTTTACATTTATAGTTTGTTTATTGTTATATATGGATTTTTTTTTGTTTTTTCCTCCTTTTTTGATTTATTGTTATTTTTATGCTGTACACCACCTATTGCTTGAGATGAGCAATCTTATAAATCTTAAAACTGTTTTTGACTGATTTTTTGTTTGTTTTTTTACAAAACTTGTTAAATTGTCCTATAAAATATTGTTAATTTGTTTAATAATCTTGCAGCATTTGCAGCTCTTAATATGGAAGCCCTTAATAATTTTTCTTGATGTTTGAAAGAATTGGAGATCTTAATTCCTTTGCTTGTAGATTACTTTCAAGAGTCCTGAATTCTGGTAGCCTTGAGGGCTTTCATGCTCTATGTCTGTTTAATGAAAGATCAACCGTGTTTTACAACACATTCCCCCAAAAGCTGCCCTGGAGAGAAATGTCAGGTATCTATCATACAGACCTTTGATCAATATGAAGCTTTGAAGCTATGTATTTGATGGTTCCTTACCTGTGAGGGAAGAAGTATTCTTAAACAGGCAGGAAAGAGTACAGAGAATTGTAGAATAGAATAATAAGATAATGAAAAGTAGGGTATCTGGCCAAGAATTGCTCAGAACAAAGTGCCTTCTGATATCACATATTGATTTGTCTTTCCTTTGCAGGCATTTGAGGAGCAACTCACATCTTGGTGCAAAGCTGCTGGAGAAGGTGTTACATATGAGTTCCAGCAGGTAACTGGGAAATGAGAGTTCATTCCAATTACTTTTCCTTTAGTTCTAGAAGCAAAGCTCTAAACTGCTTTCGGCTTATAGCCTTCTAGAGTACTGCCACTGTCTTTCTCTTCCTTTCTTCCTTGGGCCTTTATCTCAACAGGGCTGTCTTTCTTTGGTGCCCTGTGCTCCACAGCCTCTTTTAGTGCTACTGCTGCTTCTGCCAGGCTTTTGCCAGACATTCCTGGATTTTGAGAATCTGTTGCCTCCTACGAGTTTCACCTTCTACCTTTTCCCTTGGGCTAGAAATACATGGATCAGACAGTTACCTCCACAGAGGAATCTGATCCCTGGTGGAAGGCATTCAGTGACACCTGCAAAGACATGTGAGTATGTTGTTACATATGCCTTTTCTCATTTTTTTTCTTTTTTCCTTAATCATTTTGGGATAGGAGCAATTTCACCTCCTAGATAGGAGCAAACTATATTTATATTTGGTGGAGAAGTTGTTATTGACTGCATTCAGAAAAAGGTTGATATATACTAGGATATCCCCTAGTATAGAACAGCTATTCCCAGACTGCCACCTGTCTATATTCAGAGATTAGACGGGCTAAACCAACAGAGTGTTTGTAAGATGTCTGGATTGCTTCAAGTTGGGAAAAATATAGAAACTCCATCTGATAACTCTGTCTTCTCAACTACTCCAATTCTGGATCATCCCAGAAGCCTGCAGTTCCATTTTTTCAGTTGATAAATTCTATTTTTGGAGTAGCTTGAAACGTCTGAAGCTACAAAAATATCAAGGTTAAATAACAATCATCACATGGGGAGCTTCTCTGCCATTGTGTCTCTGTCTCTTCAGGAATATGAAGCTGAAGTGTGAGATCTTCCCTGCTGCCACTGACAGCCGCTACATCAGAGCAGTGAGTATAGATGTCTTTCCTACAGGCACCTGACCAGTGGAAATGCTTATCTTCTACTCACTTGCTCTGGACTCTTTCTCACAGCTGCTTTCCTTCCAATATATTTCAGGCAGGTCGCCCTGCAATTGGCTTTTCCCCCATGAACTACACACCTGTGCTGCTGCATGACCACAATGAATTCCTGAATGAGCAGGTCTTCCTTCATGGGATTGAGATCTATGCTCACCTCATCCCGGCACTGGCCAGTGTCCCTCCTCTGCAAGCAGAAGCCTGAGATCCTAGCAGATGGCAGTGATTTGGGGTGTGTGGTGGTGGTGGTGGTAGGGGGATTGGGGAGAAAAACCAAAGAAAGTGAGAAAGGACACTATGTATTATGACTGAGGGGCTTATGGTGCCTGATCATCTGTGTTTTGCCAAGAGGAAGTGGAATTCCAGCATCCCTGGATGTTACACAAGGGACAAAGACACTGGCAGCATCAGTTAATGCAACCACATGTAAATTAGGGTCTTATTGATGTCAATGACTTTTTCTCTGCTGCATATTAATTAATGTAGAGACTCTTCTTCTCACAAGTCCAGACGGAAAACCACATTTTTTCCCCCCCTACTAACAATTTCTCCATTTGGAGATAAAAGGACAGTCTTCGTGGCTTCTAAATCAGCAAATTCTAAGGACCAGTTTCTCACTACTGAAATGCAATTGAGCAGGAAAATGTTACTGTCATATTAATTGTCTTCCTGTTACTACCGTACCATTTTGCTGTGTAGTGTTTTGTTTTGTTTTTTAAAGAAAAAGAACATCATTTACATTGATAAACCTAAGGAGAAAGCAAAATAGAGATGAAGACCCTGAAATCTTGAGACACTGGGGGTCAGGTGAGAGTGCTATTTAGGCTGATGGGGTTGACGTGGAATTATTGTTTTTTCTTTTGCTTTCTCTGGGATGCCTAATAAGGAAGACCATCTCAACACTTAAGTAGAATTCTACAACGGAGAAAATTTTTCCAACTCTGCTATAATACTGAGCATTTTTTCTTAGTTTCCCTATTTGTAAAAGAGAATCAGTTATGACACTTACTCTTTGCCCCATGAGTCCTTTCAGAGGAAAAATGGTTTGAAAGTAAATGAAAGGGAATTTAGCATAGCAATAGCACTTATATACTGAGTCACAGTACTTTACAGCTCTCTCTAAGCAGTTTACAGAGTCAACATATTGTCCCCAACAGCCTGGGTCCTCATTTTACTGACCTAGGAAGGATGGAAAGCTAAGCTAACCTTGAGCCAGTCAGGATCGAGCTGCAGTCAGCCGAATTAGTCTTCAATACTGCATTCTAACCACTGTGCCACCACAGCTTTTTATTAAATAAAGTTTAATTACAATGAGAGACCAAGATCTTGAAGGAGGAGTTAAGAATTAATACAACCTGCTTAGGAACTTCCTTCCCTATTTTACTATCTTATGGGGATGTCCCTGAATTTTTACTCCTTGAGGATTCACTAGCAGTATGGCTGACTGCCTTAATTATCTATTGAACCTGTATTTCAGCTAATTATAAATGAATGCCATTTGGATTCTTTAAATGCCAAACTTCTAAGGGTGAAATGGCGATGATCCCACCAATAGCATGGATGATTTTTCTCCCAGGAATACCTTGGATATTGGCACTATATCAGAATGATGTATCCTTCCCTTTGAGGCATTTTTTTCTAAATTTTAACTGGAATTCTGAAATATTAAGGACAGTCAGTAAAGGTATATAGTTTAAGACAAGGAGAAACTTTCAACCACATTGCCTTCAATCGAATACCATTCTCTAAAGAATTTGTTAACATACATGTGCCTCTTGAATATTAGCTATGTTTCCACCCACTCATAGCATTGGCAAACCATCCCATGAAAGAGGTATTTTCCCCAGTTTTATACAAGATAATTGATTCAGATTGGAAAGAGAGAGTTCTCCAGATATCATATTGACATATTTTATCTCAGGTTTTCTTCATCCAACTTGTCATTTGTAACAAAACCTGAATTTCTTCCAGAAGGATTATTTTTCACACACTGCTGTAATGCAAGATCATCCCACTGTACAATATACACTGTCAGGTACACTTTCTCTTTTTAATACTGGATAACATCTGTTAGAAACTTCACTCCTTTCTAGTGTCATAGAGCAACACATACTTAGGGAATATGGAAATTTCCCCCTTTATTAGTAGTCTATTAACTACAAGTGATTTTTAATATGAAACTGAAGCACAGATAAGAACACTGTGATTTGTCTTATTATGTATACAATAATAATCTGTAAAATATAAATGCTTTGTAAAGTCTTGTGTCCCAAAAAGTTCAGGTGTGAAATTAGGACTAAATCAGGATTCTTTTAAAAGCCTAGGGAAAAAGGCTAACTCATGCATTTTTATAGTTCTGTATTGTTTTGTACAATCTTACTTGGTAGAAAGTCCTGTTGTACCCTGTTGTGTTTTGGTAACATGCACCGAATTGTTGCATATGTGGATGTGGAAATTTTTTAGATGAACATTTCTCCTTTGGAGAAATGACACTTCCACAGAAGTCTATAGTGTCAAAATTTTGTTTAGAGTTGCTTTTTGTTTGTTCTGTTTGCCACGTTTCAGGATGAATTGCTTCTCTTAGTTAAGTTTGGCTGAAAAGAGAAATAACAGGACTATATGTGGTTATTTGATTGATAGCTACGAACATGAACAGAAAGCTGCTTATGGGCTTCCAAGAGGCTTTCAGTGCTCTTTGATCCAATACAACCTATTGAGGTAGGTGGGGGGTAGGCAGCATCTTGTCTCACATAAATTTAAGTTGCCTGTGCCCACGTGAACAAAACGGTACAGTTCATACCATGGATTATAGCAACGCTTTTCAAAGTTGGCAACTTTAAGATGTGTGGACTTCAACTCCCAGAATTCCCCATGTTAAAATTTTCTTGACAAGATTTCAAAAGTGGTTTGCCATTGCCTGCTTTCAAGGGCTGAAACAGAACGATCTGTCCAAGGACATCCAACTGGCTTTGTACCTAAGGTGTAACTAGAACTTTCACCCGTCTCCCTGTCCTAGTCTGGTGTCGTAGCCACTATAACAAACTAGCAATCATATGTCTCCTTAACAGCACAGAAAGACTGTTTTTACACAGACAGAAACCTATATAGCTTTCAGCACATGGTATAACTTATTTTAGTTTCTATAAATGTCAACAAAATCAGCTATATAAAATTTGTACACCAGATATATGGGAGCAGCTAGCATTATCATTTCACTCTGTCTTTTTCCTCAGCAGACTGTGTGAATGGCCATATATGAGAGTTTAAAAGGAACTCCTGGTCTTTTTAAATCAGAAAAATCAGCCGGCAAAAATGTTTTTTTGCCGTCCTTCCTATCTAAACTTAGAGAGAAATGTATTCAATCTTGGAAATATTTTTTTTTCAGTTTATATATAGAGGCTATTTTAAGGAAAAAATACAATTAATAAATCAAAGTTACTCAAATTTTAAAGTTAGATTTGTATGCTAATTTGGGAGATGCGAATTCAGCAGGTGGTAACACTTTGACTTACCTTATTGGAATTCTGAAGCCAAGCAGGCCTGGGACCTGTTTGGCATGTTGATAGGAGACTAATGAGGAATTCTAGGACTGTAGGCTTGTCTGGGAACTCAGACCTATCCCCCCAAAAAAGGTAGTGGCAGACCATTTGCAAAACTAATGTACCTACAGGTAGTCCCCAACTTATGACCATAATTGGGACTGGAACTTCTCTTGCTAAGCAATGCACTCATTAAGTGAATTGGACCCAATTTTGTGACCATTTTGCTGGGATCAAGTGAATCACATGATTATTAAGTGAATCTGTCTTCCCCATTGACTTTGCTGGTCAGAAGCTCCCTGGGAAGGTCACAAACAGCAGTCACGTAACTGGGGTGCTGCGATGGTCGTAAGTGTGAGGACTGATTGAAGACACTTTTTCAGCACCTTTTTTATTTCAAACGGATATTGAACGAATGGTCATAAATTGAAGTGTCCCTGTATACCAGTAATCCAGCTTGTCTCAAGTTTTCCATTTTTGTTCCGAACAGTAATTGCTTGGAACTATTTTCCACTAGATGGCGAACTGCACCTACAAATTCTCCAACATGGAATAATTCAATCTATGGAACAACTATCAAATATTGGTAATACTGTTGATATTGCTCATATTTGTTGGGAGTGGGATGCAACACTGCATATATGGATATAACACAGAAATAAGTAAAAATGATTGCTTGGTAAAAGGAGAAGATGCACAAATATTAAAATATTAAAAAAATATTTTTGCAGCAACAGAATAGCATGATAAACAATAGTCTAAAAGTTGAGCTATGTACATGTACCTTGAAGCAAAATGAGTCTTCCATTCTCAGTTCATAGGCCAACTTTATCAGAGGGCATAGAAGGGTGATCCTTTCAAACATAGTAGCCCAATGTGTGAACTTTTTTAGCTGAGGGACAGTGAGTGATAATATTTTCTTTTGCAATTACTCAAGCAATTACTTCATAGAATAAATATTAATACACTGTTACATTTACATCAAGTTCTGCAAGAGTCAGCAACACTTTTACAAGAGAATATTCCTTTACTGAGGGACTTGACATAATGTCTTGGTTTTGACTTAACATACTGTGTGAATCTGGGCAGAAATGGTCATACAAGTAGCATAAAATAATTTTATGAATTGGTTATAAAAAACAGATGTAAATAAGTAATTTTACAATAGAAAGCAATCTCAAGATGTCTGTTTTGAATGTCCTCAAAGAAAGAATACAACGTTATTTATGGTTATTTTTTACTGAGGAGAGTAGGAAGTTGTGTGAATGGATATTACACAACTCTGAGGCAAATAATCACTTAAGGATTATTTAAAGCAAATGCATTAAACCAGCTCTAGCAATGCAGAAAATTTATTAAAAACATGAAAAAGGATATGAAAACCAAGCTGGGGGAAAATGCACCCACAAAAGACAGCATAGCTCTTTTCAAAGCAAAGTGGAAAGAGCTTCAGTGATCAGTGATAATCACATATTGAAAAAGTGGAAATCAAAATAACAAGAGGAAGTGACCATATACATTGATCAGAATGTACCAGCGGCAACAAGAAATCTAGCAACGGTTGCATTAGAAAAAACGGCCGTGTTGTTTGGTTTTGATCAACCCAAATGGAGACAGCTTTGCTGACAGGTTTACCCTGCCATAGCACAGGAATAATGCTAGGAAGAAGGAGGAAGGAGAAAGAAAGGAAGAGGAGTAGGAGAAGAAAGAGAGAGAAAGAAATAGAAAAAGAAAGCAAAGAAAGAAAAAATATTTGGAGGAAGGGGAAAAAAAGGATCCTGGAATAACTGGTCTGCTTGTGGAAGCGGTCCCCCCAACAAGCTGTAGCTATCAAAAAATCTGACTGGGATGGAGCCATTTTGTATTGCTCCAATATGTTCTGTTACTGGCAGCCAAAAACAAAAAACCAGAGGAGAAATGTGACTGCTGTTTTGATCCAGTAAAGCAGGGGTGTCAAACTCACACCATCACGGCAGCGTCACATGACATATTGGGACTTTCCCCCCCCACTTTGCTAAACCAGGCATGGGCATGGCCAGCGCATCTGGCCTGTGGGATGGGAGTTTGAAAACCCTGCAGTAAAGCTACTTGCATTTGAATTTGCTTGTTTGTGAGCCACATTGGTGTAGTGGTTAAGGCATCAGGCTGGAACTCTGGAGACCATAAATTCTAGTCCCACTTTGGGCACAAAGTTAGCTGAGTGACTGGGCTAGTCATTCTCTCAGCTCCAGGAAAAGAGGCAGTGGCAAACTTGTTTCTGAAAAACTTTGCCAAGAAAACTGCAGAGACTTGTCCAAGTAATCCCTGAGAATTGGACATGATTGAATGGAAGGGGGGGGAAAAAGAGGTAAATCAGGATACTACTTTGCTACTTGAATATTTGACAGAGATCTGATCAAAACCTCTTGAGTTAGACACAGCCTAGATACATCTGGGATTTGACCTGGCTCTGACTCGGTCTCCAAATTTTGAGTGTCAAAACAGGCTATTTTCTCCCATTTGATAAATCAAGCCAGGTGTGGAGAGTCAAGTCTGCTCTTTAGCATCTTTGTACACAATACATCCCAGTACAAATATCTACATGGTGCAATGTGAAGTCAAGAGAGGGCATCACGCAAAACAGCATGGTTTCTCCTTGGGGAGTGGGAGGATAGCTGATCAGCTTCCACCACAGTCTGTTGAAGTTGCATGCCAGCATTTGCCGAGGCCTCTTACTCTGCCGCCCTGCTGTCTCCACACTACTCAAAACACAACAGCAAGCAGCAAGCTGGCTTAAAGCAGCTGTTGAAATTGAAATCAGATGAGATGCAAAAATATTATGCTTTGGGTCTGAACTTTCCTCTCTTCATAAATGAGATCCATGTCTTCCAAGGCAAGGGCTCTGTCTCTAGGGCCCCCCCAGATGCCTTGATCGGAGATCGTGAGTAGCTGTGATGGCATCCAAAGAGGGTAAAATGGGTCAGTGCAAGTCCCCGCAGGTCAATTTCCTGAGCCCTGAACCCCAGATAAAAGATGGGACCCCACTACTTGTTCTAGGACTGATGGCTTTTCTATGGGAAAAATGGGAGATGGAATTTTTAGATTAGGGTTTCATCTCAGTACTGTAAAAACAACCTGGGCTGTTTCAGGTTACTGGGTTCAGACTGACAAATTTAGTTTGAACATTAATTTTCTTAGAATAAATAATATTCTAATGTGAAACTGAGTCAGTGGTTCAATTCCTAATGCTGAAAAAACGTGATGAATAGCTTCATACAGTATATCATGACAGATTTAAAAAGTGTAACCCCATATTTTTATTCTTGGGGGTGACTGCACATAAAAAGGGGCAGGGTTTCACTCATCATGAAATTACTCCAATTATTGTAACTAAACATCCCTTGAAAAATGGTGTCAATAAAATATTTTCAAAAAATCTATTTTGAGTTGTATACTAAGATTGGTTTTCCAAAAAGTATTTGTCTCCATGACCAGTGCAGAAATTGACAAAGTTCATTTGCTTTCCATAATACTATCATTCAATTTTATTACCTTCCTCTTAGGAACTTGTTAACTCCATTGCATCTTTCCTTTCACAGCCATAATTACTTTCTGGGTTTCTGAGAGAAAGCAGAGCAGAGAGTGCAGAAAACATAAAAGCAGTTGACTCACTGTAGCCTAATGCACCATATTTATCCATTTAATCCACTGTTGATGAAGTGAGCCGTAGGCATTTGCTCTAAAGTGGATCAGTTGCAAAGATGAAAGGGCCCCTCTCTACATTTGCAAATGTGCAAGTGATGGAAAAGAAGAGGTGCATCTGGCAATCTGTTTTTATATTGGAGGGGATTTTTATCTTTTCTCCCCAAGCTTCTAATCTTGTCTACCCATTATAACAACTTCAATGAAGGCTTCGGCTTAAAGATGATCTTCTTTCATTCCTCAATACTGCTATTACTACTACGCTATCCTGTAAAGTAAAATATTCCTGGGAAAGGCATCTGAATGGGGAAAAAATGCCAGAAATTTCCACTTCCCCATTACAGAGATGCCACCTGACATGGTGGCTTGGAATGCAAGGCCCAATCATTAATGAAGGCTTCTTAAACTTTTCAGGATATTTATTTTATAGGGTTTTCTTCCCCTGCAGTCCCCCTTACACATGCCTCTTGAAAGTCATTTTTTTTATTCATGAAATGTAGAAAATGTATGTACTGTAGGTTGTGTGTGCAGGGGAGTACAGTACTACCAATTTTATAAATGGATTGTATTTTGGGGGAGTACAGGGTTTTTTAAAAATTAATTTGCAATTAGCGGACTCTTGATGGTCTTGGTAAGGAGGATATTCATCTGTTAGAAAGCTGGAGTCAGCAAAGAAGCAGTGAGTAATTAGATTCAATGTTGGAAACTCCAGATTGTCCAGAGCATACAAATGCCAAAGTTCATACATTTGCCTATAGATCATGAAAAGTAAAAACAATATGGAATAAGACCAACTTTGATCTAAGGTTAATAGCATTTAGCTAAGACACTGAGCTTGTTGATCAAAAGTTCAGTGGTTCGAATCCTTAGTGCCGTGTAACGAGGTGAGCGCCTGTTAGTTGTTCCAGCTTCTGCAGTTTGAAAGCACGTAAAAAATGCAACTGGAAAAATAGGGACCACCTTCGGTGGGAAGGTAACAGCGTTCCATGTGCCTTTGGCATTTATTCATGCTGGCCACATGACCACGGAGACGTCTTCGGACAGCTCTGGCTCTTCAGCTTTGAAACGGAGATGAGCACCACCCCCCAAAGTCGGGAACGACTAGCACATGTGTGAGGGGAACCTTTACCTTTACCTATAATAGCTTTTGCATGTCAGTACCGAACTTACAAAAATGAATACTGTTTATGGGATAAAACTGATTTTTATATAAGATATTAGGAAGGCTTGGAAGTGCTCTTAGAATATACTTTTGGAGCCCTAAGGTTTGTTGATAGCCGAGACACTCAGCATTATGAGTATATATTTTTTTTAAAATCACAAATACTCCCCAGTGTATACAAAATAATAAGCAGGAGAGCTACACATACATAGTACATAGCTGCACATAATCATAGTAAATTATTACAACACAATAGTAACAATTTGAAGAGGGAAACCAAGAACCCTGGTTTAAAACTAACTCAATTAATCTCTAGAACCAAAATTGGGAGCAGGGCAGGGGAAAGGGGGAAAAAAAGGGTTTTGACATATCATTCATCCTAACAAATTGCCTCTTTGAGAGTCTGCCCATCCTGTTCTGACAGAGTGTGTTTGCTTTGAGACCCCTTTTAAGAAAAATAACACCATCTAGTATGAGTCAAGAAGTGGGCCTCCTCTATTACAGCATCTGCCCTTTGAAACAGTTTCTCCTGGAAATGCATATACCTCAATGGTATCTATGTCACCCAACGGCTAATAGGTTTTTCATCCTTTTTTTTTTTTTTTGCATGATTCCCAGAATCAGTGTTCAGTCATCTCTCTTTGGTAATTGAGCTGATTTATTTCTTGTTTAATTGCAATGTAACTCAAAGTGGGGAAAAAAATATTTCTTTTTGGAGTGCTGAAATGTTGCTGAATTTGCAGGTACTCTGCCC